TATCTTTTGTTGAAACAACCATTGTGGCTTTTTATTTTGTTTATGTAATAGATGTGTTTGGCTTTTCTGTTGTTCCAATGTTGTGCATTAGTAACGGAAACAGAATATGTATCAGAAATATTTTCTACAATTAAAATAATTCTACAATTAAAATAACAGCTTTTTAATTATGCTGTGGTTGCTTCTTTCTAAGTTCCATAGCTAATTATTTTACCAAGCTCATGGGAGAACAAAATCACTATTAATTGAATCAGAAAAGTAAAAGATGCTCAAAAATGAAAAAAACATTGATTAAAGTTATACTAAACTCACAAAATAATATGATTCGAACAATTAAAAATTGACATTTCTGTTGAATATACCCAACGTGATTAGGAATATCTGCTTAAACTAAAAAAATATTAAATAATTTAAATCCAAATGTAGTGTGATGGAGAATTTAAGCTGCTCTAATTAACCAAAATGTATGTTATATACATTTTAATTGCATCACTCGAAATAAAAAGATTATCTGTTATTTTTAATTGATTGACACGCATTAGTAAAGATAATAATGCCAAGTTTATTGTTCAATACATGCGTGTGGGATGTCGGGTTGACAATAAGTTGTTGATATATGTATACTAGTTGGGTTACGCCGTGCACGCACGGCGGACTCATTCAATCTAAAACTACATCGAAATTTGTCATCGTAAACATATTTTTTAACATAAGACAATAAATTGAAGTTATACATAAGAACCACAAACACACACACATACACACGCACACATAATTTTGCATTTCTCAATAAATACAAACTACTAAACTCTCCTATGTGATCAGATACTGCAACTATCCAATAGCTCAATAACAAAAAAGTAGTAATAACACAACAATTTCAACACTAAAAAGCGAGTATTTCAGAAATAATCACGTGTCTCCAAAGGTCATAAGAAAATGTTAATATTTGCTTGCTTGATTATTTTTACAGTTAAATTTGAAACTATTATGATCATCATGTTTGAATCATGTTATTCAAAGTGTCTAAAATTAAAATTGTTGCATTACTACTGACATCCCAACATATCAACTACTATGAACAAGGTTTAAACATATTTTTTTTCACAAAATCAGATTGCCCCAATTATAATCTGAAACTATTCACCGCCCCCATTTCCCCCTCCCCCTTTTTACTTTTTTGCCCTTTCTCTCTATCTCTCTAAATTCCCGAACAATCAACAAGCCATTCGAGCTTCCAAAAAATTTTGAAAAAATGTCAAAAAAATCCTACGGCATGGGAAATGATTCTTCTCCGACAAGATAATTATTTTTTTTGGTTGTAAATTATTTTTAAATTTTTTTTTTATAAAACTGTTGCCGCGTCCGGCCGTCGCCTCCGGACGCGGCGGGGCCGTCCGGTCGGCCGGTCCGGACGACCCAAAAAATGTACGGCCCAGGCGGCCGTACGTCTTCCCACCTGGTCGTCTTGGGTGACCGGAAGCTCGTCCGGCCCTGCCGACCGATCAAGAGCCGGCCGAACATTATTTTTTTTCTATAATAATAAATTATAATTATAAATATAATAGGTTATAATAAATAATAATTATAATTTAATTATAATGAAAAATTATAAATTATAATAACTAGTACGGTGCCCGTGCAATGCACGGGAGCATTTATTATATATATATTTTTTAAAAGATATTTTTGTATTTAAGTTGCCTCATGCCATTAAAAATTTCATGAAAATGAAATTTATATGTTATTAAACACTTCCTTATGTACAACATTATTGATTTGATTCTTTGTCACGTAAAGTACTACATAGGTGTTCGAATTTATTCAAAATTGCATATTTCTAGTTATTAGTTAACAAATTTTAAAAAAATTAAAGGATCTTATTTATTAAACAAAATTAAAGTAGAAAAAAAAGTAAATGTTTTTAGGGATTTTCACCCATTATTTATTTTAAATCTAATTCTATATTTCAATTAAGAAAAATTAAAAAAATCATTAGTTAGTCCCGAAAATGAAACCGATTTTTCTATCAATAAACTGATTTATTTATCAAACAAATTGATCCGAATTTTTTTTAAACCAAATAAAAAAATCATCAATTTTTCCTAAAAAAGCAACTAAATTTTCCTAACATTGCACCAATTTTTGTACCAAACAAATTGAATTGAAAATAATTCTAATAAAAAATTGAAATAAATTGTTAATGTTTATGCAACTGTCTCTTTCCTAAAGAAAATGATATGAACTTAACCAAAAAAAATGATATGAACTTACCAAAATCTCGGTAAAACATGGTTAAGAAAAAATATAGAATCCAAAAAAATCGATGCATTTAAATTTTGAAAAGTTGCACATAATTTTTCTTAAATAATTAGATAAGGTGACTTTAAATATCTATGATGAACCGCTTTTGTTACCAAAAAATGTGGACACAATTTTCAATATACATCCGGTCCAAATATCAGTTTTATTTTAAAATGAAAATTGCACGTGGCTTTATCCAATTTACACAATTTTTTTGAAAGAAAAAATTATTCAATAAGATTAGAAGAATTGGTTAAGAATTATGCAACTATTTGATTCCTAAATTTGTATCCAATTTGCATGGTTTTTAAATTAATTTGTATTTAGAATTGTTTTCATAAATAATTGACACATTTTTTGCATAAGAATCTCCAAATTTGTTACCAAAAAAGATATGATTTAAATTTTGATAAGAAAATAAAATATGATACGAAAAATATGGGATTCAAATTTTGCCATAAGAATCTCCAAATTTGTTACCAAAAAAATAGGATTTAGATTTTGTNCTCAGGACCATGACTTCCACCAAAATCCCTCAATCTCTTCTATTAGGCCGCCTCACGGCTGCATTCCTGAAATCCTCGAAAACCCCATCTTATTCCACTCTGCAAATCCCTAGATTGTTCTTCTTTAACACCATCACCTTCCAAAGACTATCCACTAAACAACCGGTTTTTTCACCTTCGCCTTCAGCTTCTATGCAGCCCTCAGCTTCAATCCAGCCCGTTCAGGAGCTTCCCCCTAATCTCCAAGAAATCGTTAAACTCTTCCAAGGAGTTCAAGAACCGAAAGCCAAGTACGAGCAGCTACTGTTCTACGGTCGGAATCTAAACCCCGTGGAACCCCAGTACAAAACAAGCGAGAACAAGGTACAGGGCTGTGTTTCGCAGGTTTGGGTCCGGGCATATTTGGATGGTGATAAAAACGTAATCTTTGAAGCAGATTCGGATTCGGTTCTCACTAAGGGGCTGGCCGCTTTGCTAGTCCAAGGCCTTTCGGGCCGGCCCGTGGAAGAGATCGTGAAGGTGTCGCCAGATTTCGTTGTTCTTTTAGGGTTGCAGCAGAGCTTAACTCCATCCAGGAATAACGGATTCTTGAATATGTTGAAATTAATGCAAAAGAAGGCTATGCAATTGTACGTTGAATCCGAGACGGCTGATAATAGTTCAAGTAGCCCTACAACTGAAAAGGGCCTACTTCAGAACTCGAGTTTGGTCCCAAATGCTGATGATAATGTTGGAAATGGTGAGGTCAAGTTTAGTGAAACAGATAATGATTTGAGGGAGCATTCTGGCATTAGAAATGTATTGGGTGATAGGGGGATGAGGATAAAGGAGACTCTGGAAAAAGAGTTGAGTTCTGTCGAGTTGGAAATCGAGGATGTTTCTTATCAGCATGCGGGCCATGCTGGTGTTAGAGGAAGTGATGGCGAGACGCATTTCAATGTGAAAGTGGTATCTCAAGAATTTGAAGGCAAGAGCTTGGTTAAGAGGCATAGACTGATTTACAGCTTGTTGCAAGACGAGTTGCAGAGCGGACTGCATGCTTTGTCAATTACAGCAAAGACACCGGCAGAAGTTGACAAGCAGTGAAAAGTTGAGTTTTCTTTTCTTTTTTGTTTCTTTTTTTGCTTCAGATACACCTCCCTTGTTGTTCAAAGAATAATGGAATTTGCGAAACATTGTATCTTTGTTCGTTTGGATTTGTGATAGCATTTTTTACCTGATGAATGCAATGACATCTTGCTAAATAGTCATCTCTGCTAGTAGTTTTTACTATCGATCATTTCCTGTTAATCAGTTGTATTATCTTCACGCATTTTAGTATCGTTGACCAAACTTGTTTGAGAGAAAATTCAGTGGTTAACATTTATTTTGCTTTAGGTCTGAACTTTCTTGGCTCGTAAACATACATCATTGCTATCATATTAAAATCTTGTAAATTCTGAATGTTACTCGCCAGTGGGGATTACTTGTGGGTATGTCGCATGCTATTTTCACTGCACGATGTCGAGTAAACCTAGACAAGGTTTCAGTGGACTGAAGCATGCTACGAGAGGCTGAAATTTCTGATATAAGCTTCTATGCTTCTCTCCCTTTTTATATTTTGGACCTTTATAGTCATCGAGGCCAGTTTTGTTATATATAAATTTTTTTTCTTAGAGTTGATCCGAAGTTATACTGTTTTGCCCAAGGCATTCCCAGCATTCCAATGTGACACCATATATTTAGGAAAACATTTGCTTCGTGTTACTTAGTTTTTTCTCTTTGCTTCTTGAATTCTCATTCATTTTTTATTTTTATGTGTCATTTCTTCATTCTCCCAAAATTGCTTCAATATCAGTTGAATCTGATGGAATATATCTAACAAAAGGTTTGATTTGTTGAGAAAGTCGTGCTGAAGGAGGATGGAATTAGTAATTAGTCTCTGCAGTAACTTATAAAGGCATCAAAAGTCCTTTATTTCTTCCTCACTTCCAATCAGGATTGCTCATGCCTAAGCCTACGGTTCCTTCATGCTTTTCTTCATACTTTAAGTGACTTATACCCCACTACTTACATAAAAACAAACTGTACTTAATTTAGTCTGCAACATCATGATAGAAGTTAGCATTGATGCCTCATGGTATTAGACACATTCATAAGCTTCTAGTTCCAGATCTGTGGTGTATCTCGACTAGTGGTCCCCCGCAAAACTTTTAGACCACAACAAGAATTGAAAATTCGAATCTGATGTGATTGTATAATCGGAAAACTTCGTATAAGACATCATGATAATTCTCAATAGTCCATCAAACTACTTTTTCCCTGTCTATAACTTACAGAGAGGAAAAAAAAAAGAAAAGAGAGAGAAATAAAAGGGCAAACGAAAAACACATCATCCTCCTTTGCCTCTTATTTCTTTGTCGTGCAGCTGTGTGATAAAAGCACACTATTTGGCGGGCCCGTCATTTCCAGCTGGCACACCCCGTGCAGCCAGTAAGAATAATGAAGTAAACCCCACTCGACCCTCACTCTAAAATCCCCTCTCACATTATACACAACACTATTCCTCTGCCCCTGCCTCTGAAGCTCCATAGCCAGATTTGGGTGAAGAAAAACTTGTCTACACAGCATGTGCACAGTAACCACCCGTTGCTCACCTGGACTTTCCCTGAAGGGCTCGATAATCTGAGCCGCCATTAGAGTCTCCATAAAGTAGAGCTCAAAACGCGCGTGCTCATACCTAACGGTTAGTCTTCTGTTTGGGTTCGAAATATTTGCCATGAATGTGTAATCGCCATTAATGAAGGCGGGAGGGTTGAAATATATGGCTGAAAGGGTAGCGGCTGGCGTGTCGAAAGATGGAGTTTTGGGTTGTAAAGTGATGAAGATGATTAGAGTGGCGATGCCGAAGAAGATGATGAGGATTATGAAGAGCATGCAGAGAATGGCCACACACCATACCATTGGGTTCGTTTTTCGAGAATGGCTGCGAATGGGTTGCTCTCGTGTTCTGAGCTTTGTGGCGTATAGAAGGGAATCGGGTGTTAAGGGTTGCTTTGGTAAGACTAAGTTATAAATGGGTGATAACTTGTTTTGCTTTGGTGTGGGCTGTGGGGATTTTGAAGGGACTTCCATTTTTTGTTCCCTTGATTTTGTTTTTCTTTTTTAAAAATGGTGTTGTGTGTATGAAGAAGGGAGGAGAATGGAATTGAAGATGGTTTTTGTGTCTTTTAAATAAACTTTGGAGTGGCAAAAATGAAAAAGGGAGAAGCTTTTTGAATTGATGTTGCAATATCTAAAGTTGTGTTGTGTGTAGTTTGAATTACTTTTGTTGCTTTTGGTGTTTGAGGGGAGAAAACGCCAAAAGAAATTGTGTGTCATCTTTTTGAACTTTGTTGATGTTTGGAATTGTTTTATAATTTGGGATTGACATGCTTAGCCATTAAGGAAGTAGCTTGAGACGGAAAGATGAACTAAGGTAACTTAGTTCAGGGTGAAATGGGTCCCTCGGATGAGGAGAAGTGCTGCACGTTGGTTTTTCAGGTCCATGTTTACCAATTCCTTTCTAAGCTTTCAATTTCATTTTATGGGGTAACGCCTTTTATTATTATTATTATTATTATTTTTAAATTACACATTATGGACCTATTATATGGTGCCAGATCTTGTGATGTTTTTTAAGTCTAGTAAAAGATGTGATAGTTTTGAAATTCGTATCATATATATTGTCTACTTAGTTTGTAATAAATGTCTTATAAATATAAGAATTGTTGGTGATATAAAGGGTTGGATAGGAAAATAATAAGAGTAATATTATTTAGCCTACTTAGATGACAACTTGAGTTATAACCTAAGTGTAAATGTATTATCAAAAAATTAAAAAAAAAAATAATGTATTTACACTTGAGTTATAAACCAAATTGTCATTCAAGTGGACTTTACAGCATTATTCAGATAATACTAATAAGTCGAAGATGGAAAATGTTCGATTGGTCATGCACTATTTGAAAAAAATTATTATATAGTTGCCCAATATGATTTAAGTGCTCCTGTTAAATATTAAACAAAAGTGGGGCATTAAGGTTTAGAAAATTATTTCTAAGTAAACAATGTGCTTCACGCGTTGTAACTGAATGTTTGATTGTGAGTCTTTGAATCATGAATGTTTGATTGTGAGTCTTTTGTTGCAACTACTTGTAAATTTACCTTGTAACGTATAACTAAAATTTTCGATTCAATGAAATTTTTAAAATGAATGTGCTAAAGGCACTACATATTAATTTCTATTGTAGTTATCAACAATAAAATTTATGGTATGAATATTTGTAGCATTCTTGTATATTCACAGACCACATAAATGATTGGGAGACACTTGTATATTCACTCAATATTTGTAGCATTGTTACTTAACTTTGACAAAGACTATATTGCTCATGCAAAGTTGATTTTAAATCAAAAGACCATGAATTTATTGAAAACTTAACGAGATTATTAACTATATCAATCCTTCAAGGATAATTGCTTGTTAATTCCTACTAAATTTTATACTCATCGGCAAGATCAATCATTCGGGGATAACTGGATTTAGGTCAATATGGTATTCAAATTCACTAAAGATACTTTCAATTACATAATTCTTATACAAATACTCAAATCTGTAGGTACAAAACTCAATTTGTTCTGCAATTCATGACAATGACAGACTTGGAAAATAACTATGCAAGCTGCATATCATTCATTTAGTTCATTGATTAATTAGACGAAAGTTCAATATATTGAAATTAAATTTAGGCTCAATAAATTTAGATCACTCCATACTAAATGCACAAAATCATATAACAAAATACGCATATATTGTTTACAAATTATATTCATGTCATAATTGCAAATTTTGACACCTTTAGTTGCTTACATATACTTCAAACTACATATACAATGCCACAAACTAAAACTAATTTACACATACTTAATGCATATTCAAATAGTTAGACAAGATAATGAAATTACGGATATTTTTATTTTACTTCAAAACTACATATACAATGCCACAAACTAAAACTAATTTACACATACTTAATGCATATTCAAATACTTGGACAAGATAATAAAATTATGGATATTTTTATTTATAACTCGTCAAGAGTTAAGTTATGAATAGTCACTCTTCTAGAGTAAAAAAGCCAAAATTTCATGAAATAAGTTGTATAATATATTTTCCATTCGTTAACGAAAATAAATCCTCATTCAGAGGATAACGTCTACTAGACATATTTTACGTGTGGAAAAACTTTCAAAGTTTAACAAGAAGTATCAAGGCTAATACGAGTTATATCACATATTCGTATACATATTAAAAATATGACAATTAGTTATTGGGAAATACATGATAAAAATAATTTCTAATTATATATTTTAGGAGACAAATTGTAATATTAGTTAGTGATTTGTTTATGCTTGTGGCACTAGTATGGAAACTTCTACTTTTATCATTTCCATGAGTATTGATTCAGTTGGATGTCATTATTCAATTTTAAGTATTACTTCGAGAATACAAATTATTCATAACAAATTATAAATGCTCGATAACATTTGAACATGAATAATATTAATATTTGTCATCAATATTCGCCTATACATGAATTACTCTATTATATGAGACTCGTGTCGGTGTTGATTGTTTTGCATGGTTTTATTATTACTTTTTGTGTTTTTATAGTTTTTGTTCTAGTTTATTTGAGCTCATTTTGTAGATTTCTCAGTCCATTAAGTTGATTTTTCTTGTTGTTGTGTGTTTATGTTATTTTCATATTTTGTGTATTTTTCGTCTACTATTTATATTTTATTTTGTAAGAAAATGCTTCGAATAATTTTGCTAAAACCATTGCAGTAAACTTTGCCGGACGGCCAGACACCGCTTATAGTAATCGTTAGGAGTTAGCCCAGACTAGCGACCGCTAACTGTGGCCACCGAGCTAGCTACCGCATAGCAAGGGTCGGCAGCAGAGATAAAATAGAATGTATCAAAAAAAATCTGCTTATGATATTTTTTCTTTAAATGTTTGAATGAATTTGAAATTCAAGTTACAAATCAATCGCCAATATTTCAAAAATTTAAAAAAATTACCAATTATAATAAATTTTAAATTCTTACTTGAGATTTTACTTTCTACTTAAAAAATAATTTCTTATTAGTAATAGATATAGATACGGGAAATGCTACAATCCCGTTACAGAACCATTTTGACGGGATTTGTAACCGTTAGATCATCATGTAACCGTCGTGAGTAGTCGATCTAACGGTTACCAATCCCGACAGAATGATTCCGTAACGGGATTGTAGAATGTCCCGATAGATATAATTATCTTTCAATATATATAGATTTCCTAAACCAAAGTCCTAGATGAATTATGTATGGAGTTTATGCTTAGACTCTTCGAACACTTTCATCTTGTTGGAGCAACTCTTTACAAGTTGCACTTTCACACTTTCATATTGGGCACATTTTAGGAAGAAATAGAAATGAAAAGCAAGTTAACAATTTAAGCGGGCAAATCATGAATTATATTCAAGATATCCTTCCTTCCCCGGCCTCCTATTGATTTGTTCGTACTTCCAAATAGAAAAAGTTGCCATTCAATATTTATTTATTTATTATTGTTGATCCACATTCTCTGCAGTTTCTGTGTTGAGTTTCAAATACAGTGAAATTAGTTACAAGCTTCAAACAAAGTATGCAGACAAGAAGAAGCGGTCAATTCTTGCCTCATCTCCTCACCTTCTTTATTTTCGCTTTTAATTCTGTTTGCCTTTTTGGTTTCCTGCTGATCTTGCTTTTACTCAGTAATACGAGTACTTGTTAATTAGGTTTTGTTCGAATTTAAACCCCAATTTTTTTTATTTTTTTTTCCATTACTCGTGCAAAAGAAAATAAAGCATCCCTTGTCGCAGTAAAATTTTGTTGAAAATTAAAAATATAAGTACTCGGGGAAGATCAATGGACAGAAGAAAGTGCCTCTTTAATTGACCGCCATTATCCACCTGTAATAGCGAAGTGTCTTGTTGGGAATAGTAAAAAACTGAACTGTTAAAAGAGAGACATTACTTATTCCTCCTCAATCTTTT